AGTTGTAGGAGTTAGAGGGTTTTCTATGCATGGCCTTAGGACCCTTGGGAGGTAAGGCCTTAGTAGTCTTGGCCTTGGAAGGCAAGACCCTAAAGGCTTTGGCATTGGAGGGCTTCACATCAAGGGTATAATGAACCACTTGAAAATAAATTTTTTTATGAATAAGTCACTCTCCCATCTCCTATTGCTGTCATTTTTGCTACTAGAATTACTCTCACACTATTGCAATTGACAAAACTCCCGCTCTCTAGTGCAGTTGCAATCAATCAGTAAACTTACCCCCCAAACCCCTACCCTTGCACTGGTCTACATACCCCTCAATTGTACTACCTTACAAGAATAACGATCACATTTATTGATTATGGCCTTAAGGATATTAAATACATGGCCCATTCGCCGTGGCAAAATTCTACTTTTACTTTCCTTTTTTTGTATAATTTTTTGAAGCAGAATATCATTTGAATTCAGAGTTAAATGATTTCACTTATTATTGCAATATTAACTTTCCAAGCCTCATTACACGAGTACCTCGTTTTAAATATTTTAAAAAAATAATCCAAATTACCATTATTTAGGCCGGGAACCCTAAAAAGTTGGGGGGATTTTGGTAATTTAGTTGTATTAAAAGGCCCAAGCAAATAACAAAAATGACCATGCTTCTTCGAGAGTAATAATAAATATTTCATAAATATAAAAATATCTCTGATTGTTCAGGCTTAGTACCATGTAACTCACTTTTTATAATTGTGGATGCTTATCAGCCATTGGCTCAAGTCACATGATTGGGGCTAAAGTATCAGAACAGCCCTAGTCATTTAGGGTTCTCATCCATAAATATTGACAATTTGGTAGTTACAAAATAAAAAATAAATTAAAAAAAGTAATTAAATGCAATAGAATCTTAAAAAATTTATTTATAAAGTGAAGATGTCTCTGATCCTATCTTCCACAAATGTATTGAATGAGCCAACTTTACTTCATGGATGGAAAGTAACACCAATTAAGCCATGTCCCATGTTAAGGAAGATGACTGAGGGGTGTTTTTACTTGTTCAAAGACTGTCAAATTTGGAGCCAAGGAACAACACCCACAATTCCATATAGTGTTCCAAAACTTGGATCGATTTGTCCAATTTACAGATCTATGGATTGGTCTGAATTAACAGTCTAGAAAAATATTTGAAAAAATGTAAAAAATAAAATATGGGCTCATAAGAGCTTCATTTTGGTGAAAGCCTAAAAAACACCAAGATAAGCTTAAAAATAAATAAATATAATATTTCTTTTTTGTGGGGGAGATGGAGAGAGATTTGGGAGAAATACAGAGAGAGAGAGAGAGAGAGAGTTGAGGAAAATACAGAGTCAGAGAGAAAAAGAAAAGTTTTGGGAGAATCACATAAAGAGAAGAAGAATGGGGTTTACAAAGAGCACATCTTTCTTAAGATTTGATTGGGCTAAAAAAATAGGATCAAATTGGGTAAAGTTGTCCCAAATGATTAAAAGATATAATACATGAGATCTATATGCCCTACAATATGTTTTGAAACATTGGTTCTATTGAGAAATGAAACTTGAAACTTTGGTTCTGTTGAGAAATAAAACTTAAAAACATGGGGTGTAGAGATGTTTTCCTTATTTTATTTCTAAACTACACAATAAGTACAATTTTTTTTTATGTTAATAAGCATAATATATCATAAATACAAGTATCACGATCTCTATTTCACACACAATAAGGAATGTATACTATGAGACCATCTATTTTTTTGTACAAGAATGTCATAATCATTTGTAGCCATTAGATTTGAAATAGGAACAATATATAAAGTTCTAGAAAAAATTTATTGAGCATTGCATATAGTCAATGGCATTCCTTAGCCATTTAATTAAATTTGAAATAGGAATAATACATAAAGTTCTAGAAAAATTTATTGAGCATTGTGCATAGTCAATGGCATTCCTTAGCCATTTAAGTTCATATTCGATGGCTAATAATAAGTATGATCTGAAAAGTAAATGGTCTAATTTTATAATTTATCCACATAATTATTCTCTCGCTTACAACAAAAATCAAACCACACTCTGCCTCCTAACCCACCACCTAACCCACCAGATTGTTTTTTTTCTTTTTTTTTTGTAATGTCTGCCCTAAAAAATCTAATTCTCTCACATATTAGCCTCTCCATCTCTCTCCCTAAAGCTCTCACCCTCTCTCTAAACCCAAAACTGTTCACTTGTGGGCTAATGGGAGAGAGATTAGAATTTGTTTTGGGATTATCTATAAAGAGAATATTTACTTTTTGTTTAAAGAGGTTGCAATCATTTGTATCCTTTGAGTTTCAAAATGGGTAGGGGTAAAAGTGTTATTGAATAGATATAAAGTTTCAAGAAACAATTCTTGAATTTTGTGACTCACCTCAAACCATCCAATTTAACGTCTAATGAGTGATAATAATTACGACCTCCTCGTAATAAAAATAAACGACCTCTCTGTAGACAATTCCACTTTTTTGTTAGGAGAGAAACAACTCTAGAGTTTCCTCGATATAAGGGAAGAGAGAGAGAGAGGTTTATAGGTAGAGAGAGAAAAGAAGGAGAGATCCAGTTTTGTGGTGAGGGGGCCTGTGTGAGGGATCTAATTCATGTGCATCATTATTAGGTTAATTTACGTAGTACATGTATGTACAAATCATTATGGTACTACATGTGGTCAAAATATTATATATCTTCGAAAAAAGAGACCAGCTTAATTGGTTAGCGATGATTTGCAAACGTTCTAGGCACAATGCTTACAATGGGTAGGGGCCTCTCCTCACTAACTCACCCAAAAGAGACGTATTATATATCCATACAGCTATATGCTCATGCTTCTGTGGACCCAACCCAGGAGTTTCGGCCACTCCAAATTTTAGGGACGCCCAACCTCATCAATATACCTAAGCAATATGCTCCCTCATGTGGAACCCCATCAAGAAAAGTTTTGGAACCCTAAACTTTGGGGCTGTAACATCCATAACCCAGGGATTAACCGTTAAATAAAAAATAAAAATAAAAATAAAGGGGAACTCCCTTCTATCTTTTATGCGTCCGAAAAAATTTTCTTACGATTAAATGGAGATTATCTAATTTTCGACGGTTTAATCTAATAAGAAGCACAATCCAATTTTCATTTTTTTGTTGATAAAATTGTGCAAGTCCTGTGCCATTGAGGGCTCTGGACGGTGTACTCTGGCCAAAGCATACTTATAAACTTTTATATATTTTAGGAGCCTATTTGGATGTACTCATAGTCATGGATAATGTACTGTTTCAATAAAAGTAATACGGATAATAAATTATTTATTATTGGTAGTGTCTATCATAACGCTATTAGAAATAAACTCATAACAGTTTTACATCCAAGTTTATCTTTTAGAAAAGAGCTTTTAGCTTTTTCACATTACTCTGCTATAGAAATTACATGTTTGGTCGAAATAGCTAAAAATTAGCTAGAACTTGCTAAAAAGGTTAAGTCATTATATTAAAGGAATATGTTTTGAAGGGCTGCAGCCCTGTCAAAATGAGCAAAAGCTCACCTCAAAATGCACAAAAAAATTACAGTTCTAGCATGTTCACGGATCTACAAGATCTATACCTCTCTTTTAGATACAAATTTCATAGTCAGTTTTGAAAATTGATTTTAAAGCCATCATAAATATTTATGATGCCTACAATTCATTTTAGACCATCATAAAGATTTCTAATGCCCAAAGTACATTCCGAATGACATTTATGGTGAGTCAATACTTTGTTTCGAAAAGCCTAGGTCTTATAGAAACCACATCCTATATTAAATGATCCCATGAATTTACCAAACACCGCCTTACCGTGTATAAAAATCCTTTGCCCCTTTCTTCTTTTTATGAAATGTCCTTTTACCCAGTGTCATCTCACTTCCCATCCCAACCGCCAACCTCTATCAACAGTACTGTATCTTGGCACTCTTTCACCCACAGACATCTCTCTCTCTCTCTCTTATTGTTCTCCACCATCCACAAACACTCATTCTCTCTCTTAACTTCACATCCTTTTATCTCTCTATTGCCAAGTTGTGGGAAATGTAAAGGGTATTGTTTTCTAATCTTCTTCTCCTTTTCATTTTTGATGAACACTTTTATGTCCATGAGTTACAACCATTCACGACATCGAGAGTTTTTGAAGATCATCTGCGCAAAGGAACAAAATTCAGGACTCCCAACTGGGAATCCAGTGAACAAATACATGGCTTTTACCGAAAATCTTGTAAAATGAAAGGAAACAAACGACCCATTTCACATTTCTGCTTTGCCCAATTAATGAGGCTTACCATTACCATCAGTAACACCAACTTCTCTATTAGTATCACTACCCCCCAGGTTGGTTGGGCCTGTCCCCCAACCTGAGGCTGTGCCTGGCTTTCCGTTTGACACAGGTTTCATCGACCATGGTCGGCAATGTACCAGCCTATGGTTAAACCAAGGTTCACCAACTACAGGCCAGCCCACTGCCAGCCAAGGTGCCTTTTCTTAGAAAAGGCGTTTTGCCTTCTTTTGGTATGAGCCTAACTTGTGCATAAGCTTATTAGCGCATCCAGCCAGAGACCAATTCGGCCACTTAATTGTTTCAAGTAGGCAGGGCTTTAGATAAAATAAAACGAGAAAATCCTTGTTCAAGATTAAATGGGGGGTGGTTTGTTGAGGTAAAATAAGGCACACTTCCAAACTTGGCCGTAAAATGTGGTGTAAAAATTCTTAGGATTGCCCTAGAATCTTCTTTTATCTGTAAATATAAAATTTTAAACTCCAAGTTAGTTCAAATCAAACAGGTATAGAAATCCTAAAAATGGATGGTCAAGATAATCCATTGAAGAATGTACCATTTCTAGGACGTAAAATCTTTTCTTTTCCATATCTATATATCTCGATGCTGATCAATTAGATGGTTTAGCCTTTTTCAATGGATTTTTGAAGTGCACCTTATTTCTACAATAGAAGGTGTCGACCTTTATATAAACATTGTCCAAATTAAACTACTGTCTAACACAACTCTTATCTCACCCAGGCAACCAAAATTTTCGTAAGATCAACCTCTACAGCACCCTCCACCACCCACCTAAACTAGCATAAACATCCCTTCTACAGGGCAACTCTTGCCCTTTTTCTCACTATAACTTGGAGAGAGAGAGACCCACTGTCAAGAGGCCTGAGTTATATCGTCTGCCTTTGGCGCTTGGCATCAGGCTGGGCATCTTCATTGTTTCTCATGAAACCATTGATTTTTGAGGGACCCAAAAGAGAAGCATGCTTGCTGGTGATCTTGCGACCAGCCTTAGGCTTTGGCCCCCAGTGATTCTCAGGGTTTGGGAGAAAACGGGCAACTTTCTTTGCTTGAGCTTTGCTCAGCGCTGCACTTGCTCGAGCAAAATTGACCTGTAAAATCGACATTCGAAACTGAAATAAATCAAGAGGAAATGGACCAATCCCCATTCATAAAAGGACTCATTTACCCTGCTCTTCACCAATTCAAAGGATCCATCTCATCTCTCTTTTTCTCTCTCCATTCTCTTCAACATGAAGAAGGGTCTCTTCCTGATCCCAAAATCCTCTCTCCCCCCCCCCCTGCTCTTTTTTCCTTTTTCCTCTTTTATACATGAGCACACACAAATATGAGAACATGGGAAAACAGCAAATACCAGGAAATCAACAGGAATCCAACGGATCCAACATACCTCAAGTGTAGGTTCTTTAGCCAGGATCGCATATCCTGACTGGTCGGGAGGTTGTGCTTTCACTGGATGAAGTTTCACCTATCACACAGGTTGGTATATTAGAGAGAAAACAAGAGAGCAAGGCAGTTAATATTTGATCCAGTGGGAACACTTCAAATGTAGAAAGTATTGTATTGTATTGTTACTATGTAGCCAGTAAAACATAATTTTGGAGAGTACCCAGCAGCGCATGATATCCCAGATGACATTCATGGGGGCATCGGTTTTGAGCCCAATAGCAAGTGTATGTGTGCCAGAAATGTGGTACCCTGCATTTATGACTGCAGAGCGGAAGATGATGGCTGAAGGAGAAGTGCATTTCAGAGTGGCACACAGACTGTGAAGGCTCAAATGGAGTGGGACATCAAGTAACTCCTGCATGCAATTAACACAAGATTATCAATATCACCTCTCTCTCTCTCTCTCTCTACCAATCTATGCCCCTCTATCTAGATACTCGCCATTGCTCTCAATGCCTATCCTCTGTGTACATACACATTATATATATATATATATATAGAGAGAGAGAGAGAGAGAGAGGTTGTACATACAGGTCGTAGATATACATCTCTAGAGAGATAGAAGGGCTAGGATGGAAGGATGGGGATCCACACGGGACTTTGCCACTATTTGTCATAGAAGCAACATCATGAAACTACAACTCGCGACTAAAGATTATAAAGAAACCCTCAAGGCAAGAAGGGGGGAGAGAGAGAGAGAAGGGATCGTGGGGTGTGTGTGTTGTGGGTTTAGTAGTACTAGAAGTAGCAGCAGTAATAGTACCTCAGATATGGCAGTTAGAAGTGCAGTGATCCTTTCATGTGCTGGGTATCGATCTTTTGTTGCAAGGACACTTGCTAATGTTGATGTGATCCACTCAGGGTCATGAATAGGGGCAGACCAAATGGGCCCCGCCATGTTAAATCTCTTACCACAGTCACTGCATTCTTGAGGCACCACAGGACCATAACCAGGTGCATACTTAACACTGTTGTTCTTTGATCACACCAAAAAACGCAACAATAAGACTAGCATACCACTTAACACTAAAAAGAAAAAGAGAGACAATAACGGAAAGACTAAATAACATAAAAACCATTTTGATCTTTTATTCTTGGGAGTGAACAAAGAAAATAAAAAGCCGAGTGGTTTTTCAGGTTGAAGGTTTTAAGGAGAAGGAAATCAAACTTGATGAAACTCTAAAATCTGAATGTATACGTCTATGTGTGTTTTTTCTCTTCTTGCTTTACTCACTTTAATTTTTAATTTTATTTTATGGGTAGCGGGGTTTATGGTAGGGGGTTTGGTGGTTTGTTTCAAGCAATCCAGAATTACATTTGAAATCATAGGCATCTTTCCCATTCAATGCGTTCCAAAGTCATAGACACAAAACACTTCATGAAGAGAGAAAAATAATACCTTGGTCACAGTCCTTGCCAAAGGTTGCAGATGGAAAGAATCACACCCAACACACTGATAGACATATGAAAGCTTAATTGGAGTATTTTTCACTTCCTTTGCAGAACTGCATGTAATACAACATCAAAAATATGTTCATATAATTTCTTTCATATGATGCACACAGAATTGAAAAGAGAACATAACAAAACTTACAATAATAAGTATTACAAACATATTGGACAACATTTAGTTGGAAAAAAAAGTGAATGAGTCCAATCAGTTAACAACAACAACAATGCTCACACGAAAAAGACAGCCCACGCACGTGTATATGCGCACGAATACACGAATGTAGAAATCGACCGATACAGAAAGAACTGGAACTACATATCGCTTGTAGCGATTGGCATGGCTCTGCATTTCAAACAAAGAACAAATACACATTAGAATTTGAAGTCAAGCAGGTAAGTGTTGCACACTATAGTCCAATGGAGTATGGGAAGTCTACTATAGTCCATCAGGTCATGGCCATCTAGTTGAATTATGAACAGCAATGGTAAGAGTCTGGGACCCACCAGAACATAACATGACAAAATGGTGGCTCCCACTATCAAATCATTGGCCATTTCGGAATGATAATTAACCAACTGGAAAATGGTTTTCCAATCTCCTTCCCTCACTGTCCCCTATCCCTTCATTGAAGGGTCAGGACCCCAATGGACCAGGACTATAATATTACTTTCCCAAGCAAGTATTACTCAGTGGAATAAAACACAACTATATTAGAAACAATCTTAGGGGCCTTTTCAAATTTTGCGCAAAAATTTCCATTATAAAGTTGCCCCTTGTTTTTTGTACTATGATTGCCTCTTCACCTTTACCCTCACTCAGTAATTTTTCGATGTTCTTGAAATAGGAATGTGAGTAACTACATTATTCATTGTCAGTAATAAATTACCTCGATGCAGGCAATAAGGATTCTTAAAGCCATTTCATGGCAGTACTTTGCCCGAGAAGGGTAGGAACCGTATCTGTTATCATAAATAATCACATTAAGACAGCTGAAATATATAAGTAGTGTAAAAAAAGGCATTAATGTGCCTCCATATGTGAGAGAGGGATATATATAGAGAGAGAGAATGCCCGGGGGGAGTTGCACGTGCCTGATAGTGGGAAGTATAAAAACTTACTTGGAATAGCAAACCTCCCCATTGTTCCCACAGAGTACAGCCATATCAGTAGCTGTGCACATCAACATCCCACCATCCACAACTGATTGAACTGCAGAATCCAAGAAAATAGAAGGTGAACCATAAGGATCGAGGTCAACCTGCAAGACCCAAACCCAAATACTTAAGGCTTTTTCTTGTAGTTCTAAATTAAAAAAAAAGTGAGAAGTTGGAAATCAAAATCTTTGATCACCAGAAGAGAGACTTTATTATAGAACTGTGGATATATAAGCAACAAGAGTAACAACATCGGAGCAAGGATACGGGAATAGAAAAAATATAAGAAATCCCTTGCTTTCACTTCTTCGTATTCTCTCCTTTTCACTTGTTGTCTTTTGTTACACTAATCTTGACGGACCTATGGACTAGCTAAGGTGCTCTTAGTGCTATGTTTGCTAAAAGGGAGATTGTTCGACCTATTAGTTGGCTAACTAGGAAGGCCGGTCTGACTAAAGCAACTACGGACACTAAAGCCGTTCCACTCGTACCCCTTCCCAAGGTGCCCTTTGCTCCACCAGCCTTAATACACTTTCAAAGTCCCAAGGTCATTCATCAGTCAGTCTCTCTGAAAACTACCCGTCAGCTGGTCGGTATTGAATGCCCAAATGGTGACTGCCTCCCCCCCACAATTGAGAATTAGATCAGGAATTGTTCGGCGAGAAGGAAAGATTTTAGGCTTTCATGCCAGGAACAGAGTCCTAAACAGCAGATATTGAAAGATCCCCACTTCCATCTTTTCTGATCCAGGTGGATGGTCAGTGAATCCCGTCCTGAGGTATTAATCAAAGGGTTGGAAGGAAAGCCAATCCATTTATGCCGACTGCTTCCCATCTCGAGGAACCAATCAGGGGCTTTACTGAGAAGCAAGGAAGTCCTGCCAGATTGGTGAGAACCTTTTCCTGAGACAAGCAAAGGCAAAAGGTGCCTGTCTCAGCCCCTAAGTGTCACCCACTGGCTTCTTACCCCCATTCATTTTTTTTGAGATTATCAACCAAAGTTACTGAGGAAGCAGTGAGTCCTGAACTACTCCTTTCTTGTGTCTAATTAAATCAATGGAAAATATCCTATAATCCAATGAATTATCTGAAACCCATAGTACAAAAGGTCATCACTGTCAACAGATTATAGCAGGCTTTTATAGGGTTGCAGCTTTGGAGAAGCTGTGGCATCACCTAGAACACTACAATGGAAACTCCATCGGGACTCCAATTTTTTCCATAAATCAAGGACCTAGACAAAACTAATCAACCAGCACTTCCATTTCCACCCAAGAAAAATGGTTTTGGAGCCTAAAAAGCTGCAAATCTACTTGATCTGGAGAAGAAGGTCCAGGACAAATATTGAGCAGCAGTCAAGATGGAGCATTATTAGCTCTCCAAATCAATTACTCTAGCAGATGCATGATCTATTTAGGCAAATAAATGGATCTGCAGACTTTTTGGTCCTCAAACACCCAAATCATGTAAACATGGGCTCTGGATGTAGTTCTATGGGCTATATCCCAAGGGCCACCAAGCACTTCTCTTTTAATCGAATAATCCATAGAAGATGGTGATTTTAACTTTTTAAGTATCTCATTACCCGCATCCGTGTCATATTTGGAAGGAGGGCACATTCCAATTTTCCTCCACCAGAAGTAGTATTTCACTATACATTTTCAGAAGGGATTGTATACAATGAAACCATTTACCTTTAATATAAAGCGGTCATAATTACTTACAACCATCCAATTTGATAGCTTGGATGTGTCACAAAGTTCGAGAAAATTTCTTTTGAAGAGCTTGGTCAATGGAATAATTGCAGCCACCCAATTTCACATCCAATGGTCAAGATTAATATCTCACCTTGTACCAAAGGTAAATGGTCGAGTGTTTCAAAAAGGGCTAGGCGGGTCCTAGGCGGCCTGGAGGGTCCAAGCCACCCAGAGAGCCTGGGCGGCTCAGTCGAATCCAAAATGGATGCCCATTTGAATAAAAACATTGATATATAGTATAAAAAGTAAAAATTAGGTATTTAGGACACTTACTTTGAGTTTGATTGCTCAATCATCAAACTTCCACCTCAAAAATGTTTCTAAGGACTCAAAATCTTCTAAAAAACCACAATAGATTTATAAAATATCAAAAATTAAATCTAATACCAATGGGTGATGTTTTGATCAATTTTTGTCAACTTTGAGAAACCCTTAGATCCTAAAGAAATCACCAAAAACTAGTTTTTTTGGAGGCCCTCTATCTAAAATTGGCTCCAATAAGTTTTAGGTTTCAAATGATCTTAAAACCATCCTTTCACCCTTTATATTTAAAAAAATAAAAATAAATACAAAAAAAAAATTTCCCCCTCTTGGCAGGGTGCCCGCCTAGGCAGGGCGCAGGTCCTGGGCGCCCCGCCTAGGCGGGTTCCGTACCGTCTAGGCGGCCGCCAAGGGATTGCCACCCAGATTGGCGGCCTAGACCTGGGCGATGCACCCAGGCCTTCTGGACCGCCTAGGCGCTGGGCGGTCCACTTTTTGAATCACTGAAATGGTCTCACTCTATACTTTCCCTTTTCAAAATATTAGTGTTTAAAGTTCTAATATTTTACCAATTCCACTCTAATGAGATATTGACGTTACAAGCACTGATATCACCAGTAAGTTAGTCTCAAATAAAAATCAAGATATCAGTATTTTAAAATCTAATATCTTTTAAACAACGAATTTTTAGAAGATGACATATTCAAATTGGACAACTCTTAAAATATGCAGTCAGTGTTTGATTCTCCACCCAAAACATGGTGGCAATATAGGATCTAAAATGATTTGGCAATCAACCCAGTGGTTCACTCATCGCCTTACTGAAAAAAGCAGAGATTATCCAAAAGAGGGAAAAATTGGAAAGTAGTCCTTCTGCCATTTCTGGCACAAATATGGATGGGTCCTCTCCTTAAGTTAATATCTATGATTCCTGTTGGCACAGAGTCAAAATAAGCACCTCTTAATGGCTCTCTGATAGAACTCCTATCATCCTATTCTTCCCCATAAATATAATCCAGAGAGCCAATGAAATTTTCATCATGAGTATTTCCCATTCCTCATTGAGAAATTTGGAACAAACACAGTGAATGTCATTATGAGCAACCAGAGCACAGTTTCCCAACATCTATCAGTACATAAATCAAGTTGTTCAATTAACAATTTTAGATAATTATTCCCATTTAGTGCCAACACAAAATCTGGTGATCTTTGTTGATTAATAAGCTCTAGTAATTACATTAACTGGTCCAAACAAAAACAAATAAAGACCAGTTCCCAAAATACATAATCCCACAAAGAAGGTTACTTTTAAATGCTGAAAATTCCATATTGATGCATCATGTTGTCTTTCATGAAACAGTAAAATAAATTGGGTAAAAGGAGAGTATTGGAGGAGGGCAAAGTGACAGGAGTAGGAGAAAAGGGATATCTCTTTCAAGTGCATCCTTAAAGGAGAACATGACAAGGAAAATGCTTCAACTAACGAAGAGGTGAGAATCACTGGCTCAAGGTTAAGGGAGAAATTGCGTAGATCCCATGGGGCGAGAAAGACTGCCTTGATGTTAAGGGAGAAATTGTGTAGATGCCTCTGGGATGTCACCTTGACATCCCCCACATTTTTTTTAATGTTTTGAGCATCTTTCTACTTATTTCTATTTTGATTAGCAGTAAGTTTCATCCTCCAAAAATTGTAAATAGTAATTTACTAAGGGTATTGTAAAAAACAAGCATAGGAGAGAGCAAAATCAGATAGAAATGTTAGTCACCATGCAACATCACAAAGTGTGCGTAAGACTGGGGCGACAAGCATATCATCATTTTCCATCTCCCTGAGAATCTCAGAATTAAAAACATGATAGAGGAAACCCACACCAGACAACTCATTAGCATTTTCAGTACTGCCATTGATCAAAATCCATTAAAGGGTATTGCAGATTGAATCTCCATACCACCACTAGGAACTCAAAATAAAGCAATTGTGCAACAAACTAGAAGGAATAAATCAGTACCACATCAAACTCTTTCTCATGAGTGAGCATATAAACTCGAGCATCAGCAAGCTGGGCTTCAACCTTTGAGCAAGCCACAGAACCATTTAATTTTATGTTCCTTTTGCAGGCTTCATAAGCCACTACAAAAAGCAAGAAACCATGATTCAGTAAAGATGCTATTTTATTTCTTTCATTTGATAAAAGAATTAAAAACATTGTAACAAAGGAGTACACCTTTATCATTGTCTATGGCTATAACTGAACCAACCCCATCTACTTCACGGGCATACCTCAATGCTCGCAATCCTGAAGCAGCTAAAGCCTGCAATTCACATGAACAAGAGAGTAAAAAAAAGAAACATACGCAATGACATCTACTGTTAAAGTTATAGCATTATCATTCCCAGTTTAAGTCAATTATAACAAGGGAAAGTATACAATAATCCATTGGACAATGGAAAAAAAAAATGGCCGATCAGGGTCATCACAAACCAATCAAATGATGGGATCCAGCACAACAGGACATGGCACCCTCTCTGTGTCATAGGCCAACATTTAATTGGCCATTAATGGACTCCTTGTTTTTTTATGGTTAACTCCAATGTCCAATCTTCCACTGCATTATCATATTCTGGGCCCTTTAATTGCAAATGTACACACTACATCTAATCAATGAAATCAGCATTAAGCAGAAAAAACAACCTCAAGAATCTTAACCGGCTTAGGTTCGGCCTGTGCTTTAATGGCCATGGTTTCACATGCACCATTTGAGCTATCACTTGGCTTGGCTTGAGAAGCATCCTGACTCACACCATTTAAGTCTTGATAATGTAACACTTTAGATGGCTCTTCTTCATTTACAGGTTCAGACCGTGCTTCCTCTGATTTTTCTTGTCGGGAATCTACCTTTTTGGCTACCTTAACAGGATGCTCTTCCAAGCGTTTAGAAATAAATGTCCTCAGAACTGCGATAGATAAGTCCCTATTGACAACCTAATAAAAAAATTAACTAATGTCAAACATGATTCGTCCACGTGTGGCAGAAAATGCCATCAGAGGAAAATTACATTGACCCAGCAAAAATAACAATGGAAATCTATTAACAAGAGGATGGTTCCACCGGTCACCATTAATTGCATGACCCACAAGCCACTAGATCAACAAGAAGGCCAACGATTACAGATGGTAGTTTTGGTAAGATATACATATGATGGAGAATTCTTTCATATAATGCGTACAATGTGAAGAGATTGACACAAATAAAAGGCACACAATCATAAAATCTAGTACTTCTCATTAACGGTTTTAAGAAGAACATCAAAAAGGTTTTAAGAAGAACATCAAAAAATTGCTTTCTGGATGTGTTTCAAAATTTAGATTCTAGATTTTCTTCTATGTCAAAAAATAGACTGATACAGGTCATAAACCATAACCATCAGAATATACCAGGGAAAGAAACATAATAACCACAGTATGCCAGAATCCAATTTTCTGAAAGAATAGTATGAAAGGTTACCTGAATACAATCAATGCTAGCACTCACAGTAAGGCATAAATAACCCAATAAGGCAATCTACAAAGGAGCAACTTTTTTTTGGCATCTACAGATAATACGATTTCAAGGTCACACACTAGTGAAGGGAAAATGATGACAGATTTCCCTTTTACTGAAACCAATGCCACCAAAAGGATATCAGTATTCAGCGTTCAAAACTTGTAATGCCAACAAAAGGTACAGCATGTTTAGTTCCAAGCAAATTTAAGAAAAGAACATATCTTGAATAATCAAATAAAACAACTAACAAAGAAATCCAAGTAAGCTGTTTCATACCAGAAAGCCTTAGCAGCATAAAATAATTAGATAAATTAAAAATACACAAATTTCTTAGAAAATCGAATAAAGAAAAGCAAAGTAAAGTGAAAGCAGACCATTGATCAGTTGGGAAAACAATAGAAAGAAAAACCATAAGGAGTTTAATAAATTATGAATCCAATTTCGTTGTTTCGACTATAAAAGCGAAAACTTTATTAGTTTTCAGAAATATACAGAACAGAAATCCAATTTGACAACAAAGTACCGTACACAACAGAAAAATAAACTCTTTACAATGTGCTCACAACCAAAAAAAAAAAGGAAAAAAAAAATTGAATCCAATAAAAACAAAGGCGAACCAACAAAGATTTCAATATTTCATTCAACAGAAACAACCATTTTATGTTATATTAAAAATCCCAGTTAAGTACCTGAGTTTTATTGTAGAAAACATCGTTTCCATGCATGAGAATCTCTGCATCTCCCTCTTTGAGGATGGTATACTCCATTGGATCAACAGGAAGAGGTTTAGGTTTTTCATGGCCCTGTCTCTTCTTACTCTTCTCATCTTCAAAAGCCATGTTTCCTAATGATCGTCTCAAAACTGTAGACTGCAACCCTAAATTTCGTACCACTGGTTTTGCAAACTTTGTCAGAGCTGATAGAATCATAAAACCATGGATATATATATATTACCATTTGTAGGATCCCACCCCCTCTACTACCCTGGTCTCTCAAACCTAATTATCCATGATTACCAAAATGCCCTCAAATTTTCGTTTCCTTTTTTTGGTAATTTATTGGGGAAGAGATCCCTGCCCGGTATTCCAAACGGTTTTGAATTTGGTTGGGAAATTATCACTAATATTTCTATATTTTACTATAATCGAAAAAAAACTAAAATTTTTAAAAACCTCACCTACATCTTTTCTCCCAATTTTTGATTTTTTTTGGGACAAAAATAACATTCACGATAGTCTTTTTATTGTAAAGAACATAACGGTAATTTAAATACAGTAATAAGTATTTAAAAAAAAATGAGATAGAAAAAAATAAATAAATATGAAAAATAACTAAAGAGATAAAATAAATAAACATAAAAAGAATTAAAGATGAAATAGATAAGAGAAATGATCCTATAGGACCCACCCCCACCCGTGTAAGACCCCAAATGATCACTATTAAATTTGGCATGGATCGATAGAAAAGTCAAATCCTACACCCAAGTGATAACTTTTATAGAGGTCCATACGAACTTTAATAGTGATCTTTTGGGGTCCTACACACATGGGTAAGGAAGGGTCTTATAAGATTATTACTCAATAGATAAATATAAACAAAGAGAAAGAATAGATCAACATAAAAGAAATTAGAGATGAAATAGATAAATATAAAAAGAGTTTGCCGTATAACATCGGTTAGTGTTTACTATACTTAAAACGCCTGCTCGATGTAAGTTTACGATACTTAAAATACCATATAAAATGCCCTCAGTATTACGGTACTTTAAGTACTGTATAAAATGCCCTTAGTATTATAGTACTTAAAATACCGTATAAAATTCTCTAAATATTATAATATTTAAAGTACCGGATAATATGCACTAACTATTACGATAATACGCCTACCATAAATGTCATTTTGGTTAAAAAAACAAAAAATAAAGGTGTAAATGAGATAAACGAAAGTTTAGAGTTTTTTTCCATTACACTTAAATGAAAGTATATCTACGATAGTTTCCCCAAAATTTACTGAAGAGCCATACTGAGACGTTTACCTCTACAATCACCATAGCCATCAGACTAATAATCCATCAGACTAATAATCGGACTGTTAGGAGTGCATTGTCTTTTACATGGAAGGAAGGAGAGTATCATATTTATCTTTGGGAGTGTTGTGCTAAATATAGATAATATTATTGTAGTTTTTTTCATTAGATAGAGTTGAATGATTTTATAACTCCACGAGTATATTGTCCTGGTAAAGCCCAGCTGAAAAAATAATAGGACACCGAAATTTTGGTTTGATTTTGGAATAAGCATTAAGATAAGTGAACTTAAGTAGATTAGTCATGTGCAACGCAAGCACATGTAATATATGTTAAGAAGTGTGAGTTGGTTCTAATAGAAGACTAAAAAAAACTAAAGCGTAGGCTCGATATAATTGGAAGTAGTGAAAAAAATATGGGGATGCATGGCCTAATTGATGGTATGATCATTGATAGAGCAGCTTGGCAGACTAGGATTTTTGTAGCCGTCCGTAAATAGTTGATAAAAGACTCTGATGATGATGATGATTTTAACAATGTCCATTTTTGCCCAGTGACTCTTTTTTTTGAGGTTGTCTGAAATAATGTTTGAGTACTCGATTTGAGTTTCAAATGTGCTTCCCCCAATTGGGTGTCCCACTCGGGAATATTAAAAAATAAAAGATAATAATTCTTAAAAAATCTCAAAAACTAAGGCATTTATTTGTTTTTTTTTTTAAAAAAAAAATATATTCTTTCATTTTGACAAAGACTAGAAAGTGTTTTAGGCTTTTAATCGGGAATACTTATTTTTTCATTTTTACATAATTTTTTTAATTATTTTAAATATACCCATGATAATTGATTATCTAAATCAGCGGTTTAAAAAACGGATCAGTACCCCAGATCGATCACCCCAATAACCCATCCGGATCGGGAATCAGTCGGATTAAACTTAAAAAAAAATCCAAAAAAATTATTAAATTCATTGTAAATATTTTTTTTCAGGAATCCAATAAAAAATGGGGGTACCACATTATTATCTTTTAGTTTTTTTATCTATATGCGAATATTGAGATGTCCTTTCCCTGTATGAACTTATGTTAACAATTAAATTTACATCATACAAAAGAAAAATCATAGAATTATCATGAATGAAGTATATCATCATACATGGAAAACAATAAAAAATGGATTAAATCGATAAAAAAAAATGAGCACTAAAATCTCTTATTTTTTGTCAAGGTAACTTTTATAAAAAATAACCACCAAAATCTTTTGTCAAAATAACTTTTACTTTTTTGACAAAAAATTATTTTTTTGTCAAACTTCTATTTTTTTATCATAACTTTTAATTTTTTGTAAATGTAACTTTTTTTTGTCAAAATAAGTTATATTTTTTGTCAAGATAACATTTATTTATTTGACAAAATTTATTTTTTTGTTAAAATAATTTTTATTTTTTTTCATAACTTTTATTTTTTTCAATATAACTTTTTCTTTATTGTTATTTTTATTTTTTGTCAAGATAAATTTTTTTTTTAATTTATTTAACTTATTTTTCTTCTTTTTATTGGACAAAAAATAGGATAAGAGGTAGGTCATACCGACTTAACCACACTACACTATTAGTCTTGGTTTGAATAATCTTTATATATATATATATATATATATAGTTTTACATTCTCAAGACACAACTTAAACCCACATCAGGAAGATAGCCTACTATAAATTAGTCACGGCCAATGGTTTAAAAAGCGGATCGGTGATCCGGATCGAGCACCTCAAAAATCGATTTGGATATTCGAATCGACGATCCGAATCGGGAATAGACTGAATCGGTCAGATTAAGCTTCAAAAAAATCCGAAAAAATTATTTAAATTCATTATAAATATTGTTTTTTAGGAATTCAATAAGAAATGAGCGTACTCCATTAAGAATTTTCATTTATTTGCATGAATATGCGAATATTGATATGTTCTTTCCTTGCATGAACTACTATTTACCATTTAATTTACATCACACAAAAGGATAAACATGGAATTATCATGGAATAAGTATATCAACATACATGGACTACAATAAAGCATACAATTAATAACATATGATCTAAAAAAAAAATGATAGATGACGTCGTTCTTCTTCTTGGTCACGCTGGTGCCATTGATTGAATTCGTTTAACAATTCATTGATTCGATCTAAAAACGAATCATCGATATTAGTAGGTGTCTGATTATACCCAAATCCCTGAGTGTTAGTGTTCTATTGTGTTCCCAATCCAAAATCCTCGAAGCTTGTTCATCCTTCATGCTCACCTACACTGTCATGCTCATCCCTACCATGTTGTTGTTGAGACTCGATATGTGAATAATATGGCTGGGATAGCTCTCATTTTCCCTTAGACCCCCTTCCTACTCTCCCTCATTAGGTGCAATGTCATCGACATCTCCAACGAATTGTGGATACGTTGGCTGGCTGCTTCCTCTTTCATGCTGCTCATCACCTTATTCAAGATCTTCCTCATCGATAGCCTCAAGGAATGCTCTCTTGTGCAACATTGGCTCCTCCTCTTCTACTACCCATTGGACTGATGTGTCTGTGACAAATATTGTGTCTAAGTTTATCGGCCCATAGTCTTCAAGCTTCCTTCTTATTTGTCGCTCTCATAGGTTTAAGTTGTAATGAACGTAGACTAGTTTATGAAGCTTCTCCGAAGCGAGTCGATTCTTCCTGATAGTGTGCAACTATTGGAACGTACTCCAATTGCGCTCACAGCCAGTAGCAGAACATGTCTGGCAGAGCACCTTGAATGCTATCATCTTTAGGTGAGGTGCATCAGTACCATATATCTCCCACCATTCAGCTGGATTAAAATGCAAAAAGCATTGTAAAGGCAAGAACAATTCATAAGATTAAATATATAAATGAACAAAAGATTAGCTAGGGGATAACCTGGATCCATCTCAGTTCGAGAATTCCTGGCAAGTCTAGTTTCAAAGGATCCTATAACATCCCTATACATAGCAAGTTAAAACAAATATATTTCGTTTTAGTGCATTATTCCTCACAAATATAACAACTCAATAAAGTTCTTACCCAAACATTAAATAATATCTCTTGTATTGCTGCTACTTGGTTTCGATGGCTTCTCTCAAACTTTGCAATAATGTATCTGACCCCTTCCGTAATCTTGTAGGGATGTTCAGGTGTCAAATAGAAAAATTTTGGGTTGAAATAATAACCTAGAATATATATAGATAGAAAAATATCATTTACAATTTCATAAAAAATGATTTAATATGAAACATTCTAATGATATAAATATATATTTACCAGCATAATGAATTGGACGTCCAAATTTGGTATTCCACCTCCTTTCTATAATCTCGATCAGTTTGCTAGCAAAACTACACTTCGCCCCAATA